CACAACTAAAAAAGAAAATTTCAGGCCAATATCCATAATGAACACTGATGCAAAAATCCTCAATAAAATACTGGCAAACTGATTTCAATAACACATCAAGAAGCTTATCCATCACAAACAAGTCAGCTTTGTCCCTGGGCTGTAAGGCTGGTTCAACATATGGAAATCTATAAATGTAATCCATCACATAAACAGAACCAAGGACAAAAACCACATCATTATCTCAACAGATACAGAGAGGACCTTTGACAAATTCAACATCCCTTTATGCTAAAAACTCTCAGTAAACTAGGTATAAGTGAAACGTATCTCAAAATAAGAGCTATTTATGACAGACGCACTGCCAATATCATTCTGAAAGGACAAAACCTGGAAGCATTCCCTTTGAAAACCAGCACAAGACAAAGATGCCCTCTCTCACCACTCCTATTCAACATAATATTGGAAGTTCTGGTCAGGGCAATCAGGCAAGATAAAGAAATAAAGCGTATTCAATTAGGAAAAGAGGAAGTAAAATTGTCTTTATTTGCAGAGGACGTGATTGTATATTTAGTTGACACCATCGTCTCAGCCTAAAATCTCCTTAAGCTGATAATCAACTTTAGCAAAGTCTCAGGATACGAAATCAATGTGCAAAAATCACATGCATTCCTATACACCAATAACAGACAGACGGAGAACCAAATCTTGAGTGAATGCCCATTCGCAATTGCTACAAAGAGAATAAAATACCTAGGAATACAACTAACAAGGGATGTAAAGGACCTCTTCAAGGAGAACTACAAGCCACTGCTCAAGGAAATAAGAGAGGACACAAACAGATGGAGAAAAATTCCATGCTCATGATTAGGAAGAATCAATATTGTGAAAATGGCCATAGTAGTTTATAGATTCAATGCTGTCCCCATTGGCTCAGCAATCTCATTATTGGGTATATACCCAAAAGATTATAAATCATTCTGTTATAAAGACACATGCACATGTATGTTTACTGCAGCACTGTTCACAATCACAAAGACTTGGAAACAACCCAAATGCCCATCAATGGTAGACTGGATAAAGAAAATGTGGCACATATACACCATGGAATACTATGCAGCCATAAAAAAGGATGAGTTCGTGACCTTTGCAGGGACATGGATGAAGCTGGAAACCATCATTCTCAGCAAATTGACACAAGAAGAGAAAACCAAACATCACGTTTTCACTTATATCATAAGTGGGTGTTGAGCAGTGAAAACACATGGACACAGGGAGGGGAACAACACACACCAGGGCCTGTTGCAGAGTGGGGAGCTAGCAAAGGGATAACAGGGGGTGGGGGCATAGGGCAGGGATAACCCTAGGAGAAATACCAAACGTAGATGACAGGGGATGAATGCAGCAAACCACCATCGCACGTGCATACCTATGTAACAAAACTGCACGTTCTGCACATGTACCCCAGAACGTAAAGTATAATTTTTTTAAAGTGACAATATTGAGGATTATCAATGAAAGACTATGCCAAGAGTACAGACAGGAGGTGGTGTTTCCCAAAAGGCGCTTCAGATGATTCTAACACTTCAATTTACATGGTGCAATTCAATGTAAGAGAGCGGTACCACTCTTAACTCTACTTTTGCACTTAAAATTGTCTAAGTTCCACCCACAATCAACAACAAAAGGTGTGTGCTCGTCCCTAGTGCATGGAGCAATGACTGAGAAATTTCTTGTCAACACTCTTTTTAATGTTGCACATGTGTGTCAGTTTAATTCCATCCTAAGCTAATGATTTTAGAAAAGAGAGGCAATATTCAGCCATGACCAAAACTTACTTTTAATATAACTAATGTTCACCAATTGCTCATCTATGCTTCCTTGAAAAGTAAGATAAACTTGCAGGTTTTCCCTGTTGCTGCCTTAGAGAAAGAACATATACGCAAATGATTTAAAACCTTGACTCACTGCATTCCCCTGTTTGGACTTGCAGCTATCCACTTCACACACAAAATCAAAGTAATGAACTTTGGAGAATCCATATGCATTTTAAGAGACATTTAAGGGAATTCATTAGTGCTGTTTAAATTTTTAAGCACATCCTGATGGCATCTGCCTAGAATTCCCCCAGAAACCACTGGGTTGAAATCTTCATCAGTTTCATGTATAATATCTCTGAAACCATCTGGTTCTGAACAGTTTTGGGGACAGAGTCAAGCAAAATCTTTCTCATAGCTCTCTCCCTTTTGATTATCTTAAGTGTTTTTCTCCTCAGCAAGTAGAACATGTTAAAGCTTTCATGTTATTCTATAATGGTTCCTGACTTTGTAAGATGATGCTTCGAAATATGTCTGCCCTTATTTAGACTGGGTTTGTGCTTACAATTAAAACACAAAAATAATATCCATTTGACAGTATGTCTTTATGCTGCAACACTACCTATTTTTTATGTTTCCATCATGAAGAGAATAGAAATTCGGCTTCTCTATCACTAATGAGTTTCAAAGTCAACAAAATGATAAAATATTGATACCCACTGACATCTGAGTTTACCAGACCCTTCCTTTCTAAAGCAAAAATATGTTATTAACAGTTATACGGACACAGCATGGAAAATAAATTTCAAAGAACAGCAGTGTAAATGCTGTATGTTGCTTTCAGGTTCAGTGGATTTTTATCTTGAGTAATAGCTTAAAAGATTAACCAGCTATTCATTTCATAAGCTTGAACACACACCTCACAGTAGAAAACAAATTGGCATTTGGAGTTCCTGAATAAAGTGCTATTCAAAGTGGCTCCATAGTCATTAAAACATAGAGTTAGTTTTGTGACTGCCATCAGTAAAAAATCTTTCTCATGTAAAGAAAGCAGTAGGAATAAACTTTAAGTCAAAGGCAAGTTCTTCGGGTCCCTCATCCACCATGGTTATCCCAGTGGGATACGATACAGTCTGTGCAATTGCTATGTTCCACAATAATTATAAAGAGCAAGAACATGTGATATGAATAGAACATGTAACAAAGAACAGCAGTAGATAGTAAAATAAACCACTGGTTATGTCAAAACGAATAACTTAACTTACTCATGCAGAGTCGATGAGTTAAGAGGTCAAATGAGCCCTGTTGTTTAAGCCCAATAGTACACATAGCTTCTCTGGTTCATCATTTTCTAGTTTCTTCAGAACTGTTTTAAGGATTATGTGAAACTGATTGGGTTTCATCAATGTTTTATGTGAGAACACGTGCTCATGTTTTCAAAAGTAAGGTCAAAGATATTCAAGGTAAGCATTTGCCTTTGTGTAGCTTCTGGGAAGAGGTGGAGTATTATTAAGACCCCTTGTCATAAATACAGCATTCACCATCATAGAAAATAGCATCCATCTTTCTTAGGAATAGAAGTGGTTGTACAATATGACACCCAACACACTTTTAAAATGTGATGTATCATAGCGTACTTTTAAAAAGCAGTGGACTTCTCATTGATCTTCCCATTTTACTTTGATTTAAAATGCAGATCTTTTCCTCCTTTTGAAATCTTTGCATTTTTATTTATAAATGTATAGGGGGGAAATCCATTTCAGACATATGCAGCTTCATAAATTATGTTTGGTAGTTGAAACAGTATGTGCTTATGTCATGAATTGAACATCCTCCTTTATTAGAATGCTATTTATTGCCACCAGCTGCACTGCTTAGCTAAGAAAGTTCTTGACACCAGTGATTGCTTTTCAGCACCACTGCTTCCGGCTGCTAACAGGGGCTTCTCTTTCCAAATGAAGCCACCCCTCTGAAGTTCTTCCTTCTGCTACACAGATACTTCCTGTCATCATAATGTTGGAGAAGCAATGGGGGATGGGAATGCACCCACCCATGGTCTGTCATCTCCCAGGCTGTAAATCTCCTACGGCTTTGAGATTTCCCACCTAATAGCAGTGGCCTGAGAACAGTCAAATGCATTCAGGGAATCTACCCAACAGTAATGGATTTTTCAAAATTAAGATGTGAATTTAGCTTGTGAGAAAAGGGTGTTTCAGAGTCATTGGCGTGTATTTCAGAAGAGAAGGATGGTGTCTATCAGCAGTAGACACTGGTCTCTATTTTATTACATTTTACAGCAGGGAAAACTAGACAAAGGTAATTACTCTTCTTCTGTTAAGGACTATTATTACACTTGCATGAACAGTTAACCCTGCTGTTATTTTCTCTGCTGCCTGTGTCAATGACATCCAGACCATCCAAGCAGGAAAGGTATAGAAATGGGGGTCTCAGCTCATTTCCAATTGCACAGTAAGTCCACTTTGAAAGGTAATCTTCTATACCACAAATGTGTGCACCAACACACAAGCACATTCCATTATTTATTGAGGGAATCTGTGTCTGTGTTTTCTGCACGCCAGTTTGCGCACTGGCTCCTTTTCATAATGATTCCACACATAATTGGGCTCCCAGAGCCCACAAAGCTAACAGCAGCAGGCAGTGACAGGAGAGCCCTCCCTCTGTTAACATGGAAACAGAATTTCCTTGCTCTCCTCTAGAAAGGAGATTCCCTCTAGGTCAAGGTTGAGGCTGTCTGCAGTGCGGGAGGAAGAGATTAGGCAGAAGATACCTTAACCTGTGATCCTGGAGCGCTCTTTTGAAGTGGTGTCAGGCCCTCAACCCTTCATGAACAGCACATTTCTCCCCTTGACTAAACAAGAGGACAAGCAGAAAATTGATTTCTAGACATTACCTTTGAGATATAGACTGAAAATTAGAACTTTAAGCCACTTCTTGCCCCAACCGAAAGAAGAGCCCTGCATGTGTTGCATTTCAGGTTTGGAAATGCAGCTGTTAAACCTAAGATCTCATTCTCAGAGACAATCACTCTCATTAGATTTTGCTTCTCATTCAATAAGGGATTGGCTTAAAGCCATACAGTTGCGTGGCCGTTATTCACAGTGGCTTTCACCTGAGTTTCACCAACTATGATTATCTGCCTCATGACAGAAACCAGAGCCCAAATTTTCACCTCTTATTTTCCAGGTGCCATCCACTGGCTCAGAGGAGCTGACAAGGATGCTGGACACTCAGCTTGGTTTTTTGTTTGTTTGGTTTGGTTCTTCTTCTGCTTGGGCCAGTCTCAGTATCAGATTGAGTAGAAAGAGCAGGAAGGAAAACACGGATTCAAAGCATCGCATGGAAAATGGAAAATGCCGAGTTAAAAAGGAGGCTGGAGGCTGGTGTCTGTGTGTGTCTGGAAGGAGTGACCAGAGACTTTCATTTCCTGCATGTTGGCCATTTAGAAAAGAATTAAAAGGAGAGATGGTATTTTGGTACAATTACTTATCTCTTCTAAAAAGTAGATAATTAAAAAGAAAAAGCACTGATACTGGGTGATTTGGTAAAATACCCCATGTGCACATGTGCTCTTTCATGAGGTTGAAAGTGGGTGATATATTTTAAACAATTAAAGAACAAAAATCAAGTTAAAATAGAAGATTACCAAGAAAAGGTAAACAACACTGCCACCAGGAATGGCAGCTCAGAATGTAGTTAATTGTATTGCTGGAGGAAATTAGAAGAAATGTGGTTACTGTCTTCCTTCAAGATGATCTTTTATCTGAAATGTTGAGTAGCTGAATCTGACCCACTCAATTAATATTCTTTACTGATATCTGCCACATATATTTTGGGTACAAAAATGTGGAAGTAAAAATTGTTTTAAAAAAAGTTTGAGCTTGTTTCTATCTTGTGGCAGTGATTTTATTCTGTAATCAACATCCAACAAATATTCAACTGTCACCTAATAAGGACCAGGTTCTCTACTACTTGCTACAGATCTTTAAATTCTGAATTTCTAAGATACTGTCCTCAGTTGTAACTGTGATATACAACAAAATTTCAATGCCTACTGAACTGATTATAGGAAGGTCTACCTACATTTGCTACATGTTTAAGGAGCTTTTCACTAGAGTCTACATCCATTTGCGTAACTTTTCCTAGATTTCTTCAAGCTATTGTCATCTTTCCTACCATCCGTATAAAATTTCCTCTTTTTAACATTTCCAAATGGCCTTGAGTTAGCTATTATAGAAATTAAATTATAATTGCCTACTAGTTGGTAGTTCTTCTATCTTTATCAAAGAAAAAATAGTTATTAAAGAACAAAATCTAATTTTCAGTTCAGGAAAATACTTGTGAATAAATCAATTAATTGATACTCCAAAGTTCTGACAGAAATTCTCAATTTATTGTATCAGATCAGTAGACTAAATCACTAGATGGCACTAGTAATTATCATTCTTCTCAAGTGAACCCAGTGGAATTAAGGGACTCAACCCACAAGATTTTATCTTAGATGCAAAAAAGTGGAATAAGCAATATCAGCAGTTGTGCCAATTAAAATAACACAGACAATAAAAGTCAACTTAATGCACCCAGTATCCAGCGCTGCGCTTAAGTTGAGATTCTGGCTTTGCCACTTACTAGCTGTGTGACCTTTGGCGAGTTGCATAACTTCTCAATGCCTCATCTGTAAAGTGGGTAGAGTAGTCTTAGCACATAGAATTTTCCTGAGGAATGTGTTTTATGCATGCTAAACACACAATAAATGTTAGCTATGTTTATTATGTTAAAGTAATTTTAAATGAATATATAGAGAAGATTTTGCAACTGTCTTTTGCTTAGGAGCATAAAACACAGTTTACACCTCTCTACTATTACTTAATACATTAACTTGGCTTCGCTGAGTAAATGAACCTGTCTTCAGATGTTACCCTCTTGTTTCATTTCACTGCTTAAGACCAAATACTCACATTATCCTCACTTAAAGAGCTCCTAAAAATCCCTCTTCCCCCACAGAACATTGCCTGACTTGTGTAAGTAAGATTATAAATCTTTCTCCTTCAGTTTCAACAAGCTACTTATACAACACAAACATGGAGCACACCAAAGCCTGTAAGTCAATGTTTACATTACATCCTAGTGAATGCTTTTTTCAATGCGCAGTTTAAAATGTAGGCTTCTTGCTAGGGCAGAAGTTTTGTCTACTTCATATGTTTTCTAGGTTTACACCTGACCATGGTTTGGGGTAGGAGGAATATTTCTAGCCTGTTTTGTGCTGCATATCACCCAGAAAGTGAGGGTTGGGGAAAAGAAAACCAGAGAGAGATTTCATCCTTAAAATCTCAAGAAGTGAGCCTGACAGCAGCCACGAGAAGGAGCCAAGGAGAAAGCACAGCTGCAGGAGGGATGTCTCCTTCGTCAATCTCCGAGCCCCGGCACACTTTTAAAGAGCTGCTGTCTGCGTTCATAGAAATCAGAGTCTTAAGAGAAGTAGAGGCAGGTCCACCTGAGAACTGTGTATGTGAAAAAGGCTTTCCCGTGGTGGAAGAGGCTTCAGCCTGACCCCAGTGCTAAATTAGGTAAGTTACAGTCACAGGATGACCCTCTGCCCCATTATACTCCTAGGACAATTTTGAGCCTCCCCCTCAGTGTCAAATTAGCTGTACTGGTGCTTGCAGCAGAAAGTTGAAAGGACTTCTTCATGCCTTTTCGGTGGGGTAAAAGTAATTTTAAAAGAAGAGGGGAAAGTTAAAAGGAAAACTTGAGACCTCAGAGCCATGAAGAGTCCCCCTTAAGGAAAGTGCATAGAAATATCATGATCTAAGAAGATGGTTTTCCAATTTGACTACACACTGAAATAATCAAGGGAGCTTTATACCTGAGGGAAGGTGTTCTCTTTCCGGGTCCACAAGCGGGTGTAGCTTTAATGGCACGAGCTTCCTAGCACCATGCCCCCCTCCCATCTCTCTCCATCTGGGAGACTTAACAGTTTATGTTTAAATTTCACGGGCATGGGAAGAAACTAAAAGTCAGTCACCCCAGGGGAAGTTCTAAGGAACTCCTTTCATTGGCCTGGGATCTTAGAGAAGGTGGGGGTTCCTCCCAGGTTAAAAGTCCCCTTCTTCCACACCCCTCGGACTCCATGTTTGAGTCCCCTTCCACGAACACTCCCTTTGTGGAAGCCATCTTTCTCTCTCCTGGATTCCCCCTCTGGAGTCCCCTTCCACACTCTCTCGTGGAAGCCTGTCTTCCCTTCTAAACTCCATCTCTCTCTATTCTCTTCCAGTGTGGAAGCTGCTTTCCTCTCCTGGATTCCATCTTTCTGGACTCTCACTCCGTGTGAGAGGAGCTTTCCTTCTCTGGTTTCCCCCTCTGGGAGCTCTTCTCAGTGTGAGAGCAGCTTTTCTTTCTCTCAGTGTGAGAGTTAGCTGTGTCTCTCTCCTTCTCCTTTTTCTCTCTTTAAATAAATCACTTTCTACAATCGCTTTTGAGTCCAGCATTTACTGTGCACTGCGCTGTGGTCCCCTCTCTTGTTCTTGAGAGGGCAGGACACCAAGAACCTGGAGAAACGTTCTCTCAGGGGAGCTGAGGGCACCCTGAACCCCAATATTACACTACTAGCGCTGGTTCCCTCCCCACAGCTTTGGTCTGGGGTGAAACCTGGTCATCAGGATGTAAAGCTCCCTGTGTGGTTGAGCAACACCCATCAATCTAGCAAATAACCTAAGCACCAATAAACAAAGGCAGCGCGCACTGTGCCCCGGGCTTTTCTGTGACTTCACTCTGGAATGAACTGACAATACGAAAAAACACTGGGTCCCAGGACTTGCCTTTTCTTGGCCAATTAGCCAGTCTGTGAATATTGAGTATTTACCATATGCAAAACTCAAGGTTGATTCTCAAAAGGGATCAGGTGACATTTTTAAAGACCTGACCCCCTTACACTTTCCTTCTGGAAATTTCTGCGTCAATTGTCCTCCTTAAAGGAGACGCTAATTATCACTATAGCAATTTTTCTCCTTCCTAAGAAGATTTAGCAAAAGTAAACTAGCCTTCATGGATATAATTATTTGTTTAAAATCGTTAGAAATAAGAGTAGGGCGGGGCCGGGCGCGGTGGCTCAAGCCTGTAATCCCAGCACTTTGGGAGGTCAAGGCAGGCGGTTCAGAAGGCCAGGAGTTTATGGCCAAACCCCGTCTCTACTAAAAATACAAAAATTAGCCCTCGTGGTAGCGTGCGCCTGTAGTCTCAGCTACTCGGGAGACTGAGGCAAAAGAATCACTGGAACCCAGGAGGCAGAGGTTGCAGGGAGCCAGGATCACACCACTGCACTCCATCCTGGGCAACAAAGCGAGATTCCATCTAAAAAAAAAAAAATGCGTTTTCCATATTTCCTAATAGAGTGGAATTGCAAAGATGTCAGCAGGTCCATAAGCATTTCAGGAGACTGACTACACGCACTCACCTTTCTGGTCCAGAAGCTGGAGACTCACCAACGGAGAAGAGATGTTAGCTAGGAAAGAAGAAAACCATACAACGGCAAGGACAGAGGTAGAGAGAGCAATGAGCTAAATCGGGAAGGAGCAGAGAGTGGAGGAGAGTTTATAAGATAAAAACCAGCTGAATTACATTTAAGTGGATTTAATTGGGCAAGGAACGATTTGCAAATCGGGCAGCCTTGTGAGCAAGGGTAGGCTCAGAGATGCCAGCCCAGCCACGTGGTGCTTGTATAAGAGATGGTGCTTGTATAAGGTGGTGAAAGAAGATTATGGACAGAAAAAGAAGAGTGAGGTACAGAAGTGAGGTACAGAAACAGATGGATTGGTTACAGCTCAGCATTTGCCTTATTTGAACACAGTTCGGACAGTTGGCTACAATTGATTGTCCAAAACTCAGTGATTGGCACATGTGTAGGCTACGATCTGCTTATAAATCCACTTATTAGAGTTCATGATGTACAAAAATCCTTTAGGCCAAACTTAAAATATCTAAGGAGGCAGCTTTAGGCTAAACTTGACTTAACAGGGTGAAAGACAAGAAGAAAGGGGATCACTTCATTGCCTGAGAGGTTCTCATTGCCCAGGGTTAATTGGTGTCAGCAAAAGGCATCTCCCAGTGAATCCACTTAAAATGGAACCATAATTTGATAAAAATATATTTGAAGAGGATTTGCTGAGAACAATTTTCAAAATTAAAAATTATGAAAGCAAATGCATTTTATTTTATAAGTAACAAAATATATTTTATAATTAGGTGCAGTACTCAGCATCAAGAAGAGCAAATCAAGTATTGACTTTTGTTGTAATTTTCCCAACAAAATTGCAAGGCAGTATAATACACCCATCATTTCACATTTCACTTCGGCAACACTACACTATCACTTGGAAAACAGTTCAAGTTTTTTTTTAAATTAGGTTTTTCTGAGGGTCTTACTAAGACTTTGATATTCATGTTCTCTATTTAGTCATCCTCCTCTTGATTTCTCTGATTGTTAAAATAATTCTGCCAGATTATTATATGTCAAATACTGGTTTAAAATGTGATTTATGCAGTTCACCAGCATTACTTTCATAAAATTCTACAACTTGTGAAATATGTATAATTTCTCTTTGCAGTCAATTTGTATTATATTGTATCACATTGTTGGCTTTTTAGAATATTTGATAGTGAGAGACTGACCAAGACATTGAGACAATAGGCTGATATAAATGTTCTGCAAAGCCAGGAAAGCTATTTGGATGTGGATTAGTTGTATAAGTGGTTAGCTCGGTAACAGGTATTTCTGGGTAATGACCACTTTTCCCTAGGCTGCCTAATAACTTTAGAACTTAGATGCAGCGATTAGATAAGGTTCCCATGTATAAAAGCCAGGTTTCAAAGTGAGTCCAAATATTTTGCCTCCTTACTCCTTTTTTTCCCACCCCAAGATTGGTTATTGACTCCTATGATATTCTCCGACAGATGAATGTTGAAGTAAGTCATTCAATAGAAAATTACCTAATGGATGCACCAAAATTAATTTCTAAAGGGGCATTATTCCAAGAATTACAAAACTATACTCATGAGTGAGTTTAGATTATAGAAGTTACTGACAACCATACTTATAGATAGCTGGGTATAAGAGTAATTGCTGGCCCTTGGATGATTACATGATTGGAGATGGCTTTGGTCACTCAGTAGAAGTAATTTTATCGGAGATAAGAGCAGTAAG